GCTTGTTTCTTCAACTCGAGTTCCTAACAACATAATTTAAAAGGGAACCTTAACAAAGCCAACATACGAAACAAATCACACGGCTTGTAGCTCTATTGTAATGTTTACAAACATCTATGAAAAAAAAAAATCCAAACAAGATTTTACTTTTGACAGCTTCTAAGATGAAGAAAAAATGACTGTGCTGTTCGAACCAATCTTCGAAACACTGTTACTTCAACTCAAATAAATGCACTGAAGTATCCTTGTTTGACAACCAATATTAGGACAAGGGCGTGTTGTGGGGGTGGGGGGAGGGGGGGTAGCATAATTTGCATTGACCATAACCTTAAGACATGTGAAACATGATTCATTTGTTCAGCAGTCGTGTACAAAAATGTTGAATGCCCATTTCATACATTTATCTGTCTTGAATTGAACACAAGTTCCCCGTAGATATAAAGAAAATGGTTAAAAAACTATCGATATATTGCCATACCCTACATACCCAAGATTTCGGTGAATCCAGATTTGGATGCTAATTTGACCATAAAACCTATCTGACTCCAAACAGAACAGGTGTAAAAAGGTCACCACTACAAAAAAGTATAAAAAGAAATACATACAAATATCTCTCCGTGCAAATTCAGTAAAACTAAAGCCTGCCTACAATAGAGTCAGTATGTGAATTCATATGCTTCTTAACACGAGCAGGGTCTAATTTTGCAGAAGCACGCATTCAATAGACCTTTTTGGGTTATTCATATTGTGGTTGTTAAGATCTGTCTAGAAAGCCAAATTTGACAAAACCATCCAAGTCACTTGAATGGGATTTCGGATGTTCTGCAAGATCGACCAAAAAAAGGGAAGGTAGGAGGGTTGGTAAGCTAGAATAAACAATTTTAGCCATCATAAATATGAAACTGGTTTGTTACCTGTCACAGTAAAATGAAACATATAGGACAGTAAAACATCTTTGCTACCAAGTTAAAGATTGATATGAACTCTTTTTTTTTTTTCCTAATAACCGTGAATGTCCAGGCCAGCTTGCGCGCACCTCGACTAATCCCACGGGCCCTGAAGTTTACAGCTGGATACTCACCTCAGTGGCCTTAGAACTCTTTCTTAAGAACTTTGCAACAATAACTAGGTAAGGTCATTCTAAGTGCCAAATGTAAATCTAGTTAGTAACTTTGACATCCACTTTTCTACTATGATCAGATAAAAGGATATCAAAATGTTTAAAAGTTTATTTGCACAGCTTATAGGCAACTTTATTTTGTTTTATAAGCATATAGATACCCTTCCCATGGTACATGGATAAAGCTTGCCCTGGCATATTGAAAACAACGTGCTATTATCCATATGAACCAAAAAATTGAATATTTCGGATTGATTTTCATCGCCAGACTGACGAGTTTTCACATCATATTTTATGTTCATAATTTAAAAAAGGGTTGAAAGAAAGAAAAAAGATGCAAACCGGATGAAAAGCAAATCAAACTACATATATAGAGTAAACTACAAAGGATGATGAACAAAAAAATGATTACCGCGTCCATTTTTTTCATTTCACTGCGAGCATACTGAGCCACAAGATATACAGCTGCAGAGAAAGATGCATAAATATTCAATGTTTCGGAATACGAAAGCAGATAAAAATCAAACTCAAATAGCAAATGGACATAACCAAGAAGGTCTA